CCTCACCTTACATTTGATACAATGCTACAGCATTAGGTACTACAGAATTTCAAATAATGCGAAATCTTGAATTAGCCCAATAGAAAAAAATTCCACAGTGCTAAATTTCTAAATATTTTGACAACTGTTTAACCTTTATATGATAAAAGGAATATAGAACTTTGAAGACATTTTACTGTCTAGTTTTTGAGTTATTTTAGAAAAAGTTTAGGTGTGCAAAAGATTTTTTCTTGATGTCATCAAAATAAAAATTCTTCAAGTTCTGGTTCTGCGCATGCTCATGCACAACCTAGTGAGCACATACGAAAATTATATCGAGCCACTTTAAATAAAGAAGTCTGCTGAACAGTGTTTTCCTTTGTGTTGTAGGGTTTGGCTTACACAATTACTGATGTACCAGAATTATACGACTGGATGAAAAAACACTTTCTTGAACATCCACTGTTTGAGGAAGTCAGTGATGAAGAATTAGTAAGTTTACCAGGGACGTTCTATTGACATGACTTCACAATATGTGAAGAGTTTGTTAGTTATCTCCCTTGATTTTCTCCCTTGATTTTCACCCAAGGGTTTTTCAGGGTATTGGTTTTTTAACTCCCACAAAACATGATGCACTAAATACTGTAGACCAAAAGCTTTTAGCTAAGGCAAAAATAAACAAATGATACTCTAGGGATCGAATGACACAAGGTCTTAGATGGAAAAACATTATTCCCAAGCTAAAAGGGTCTATTTCAATTCCATCTGCCTAGGAGTTTGGATAGCTAGCCTTGTCCTGACTTTGATCAACCCACAGCTTGTTTCAGGGTTCAACCTGTGAGTTAGCCATGCACAGATCTTAATTAGCCCAGAAGTTGTTTCAGGGTTCGATATGTGAGTTAGCCATTCCCTGACTTTAATCATACCCCAAGTTGTTGCAGGGTTCGATCTGTGAGTTAGCCATTCCCTGACTTTAATCATACCCCAANTGTGAGTTAGCCATTCCCTGACTTTAATCATACCCCAAGTTGTTGCAGGGTTCGATCTGTGAGTTAGCCATTCCCTGACTTTAATCATACCCCAAGTTGTTGCAGGGTTCGATCTGTGAGTTAGCCATGCCCTGACTTTAATCAGACCCCAAGTTGTTGCAGGGTTCGATCTGTGAGTTAGACATGTCCTGACTTGAATCAGCACAGAAGTTGTTTCAGGGTAACATTGAATTTGAAGGTTTTTGTTGAAGAAAATACAAGCACATAAACAATCAATCAAACTTTAGTGTTAACTTAGACAAGTAATGATTGTAATTTATTTTTGAAGGAGAAAGATATCGTGGTTTCCAAGCTCTATGATAGCACAGAAGAAGGCAAAAAAGTAACCCGAAATACCGGTATTAAACTAGTTGGTGTTTACAGACGAATTGCTGATCCTGTCACGTAATCCACCTTTCAGTCAAGTCTTTTGTCCATTTTCAATAAAACAACATCTTATAAATTGCGATGACATGTTTTACTATCCAGACACACTTTCTTTGTGAGAGCTAATTATATCATCTAAGTATAAAAACGTTTCTCTGTAAGTAATGGTGTTATGACTTGTTTGTGCTATCATCTTGTTGTGTGCAAAACTTGGCCAGTAAGAGAGACTGGCTCAGGATCAGTAGGTTGCTGTCTATAGATATCAGTTTATGTCTTGTTAAGAATATTATCTTTTTTTTGCAAAGGGTGTGCTCTTGTTGTTACTCTGTATGAATGTCATTGTCATGTTTTTGTTTTGGTTGTCACTTTGTTGTCCGTAAGATTTGTCATTTTAGAGGGGGCAGGTCGGTGTTACAGTGTCAATATGGCCACTCTGTATAAATATCAGACAAAGTGTTATGCTATCGTTTCATTCTCAGTAAGAGGTGGTCATTTTAGAATTGCTGGTCGGTCTTACAGTATCAATATGGTTATTCTGTATAAATATCAGACAAAGTGTTATGCTATCGTTTCATTCTCATTAAGACGTGGTCATTTTAAAAGGGCTGGTCGGTGTATATATATATTCTATATATCGTTATGTCTTGTTTTGTTGATCATCCTGTTGGCCACCATGTGCATTGGTATACTTGTTCATATAGGACACAAACTCAGGGTACGTGATATAACCATCCTTATTAACATCTTGATCCGTCAGAATCATGTCCACAAAATCCACTAGTGCTTTGTCGGATTCTTCTTGTGTTTTGTTTGCTGATCAAGAACATAAGAGACAGAAATTAATTTCGATAAACAGGGTGCACTGTTGTCTAGCTTGGGTACAAATAACACTATATCAGGCAACTGGTGAACGAAAGGTGATGCTTTTACCCAAGCTAGACCATAATGCACCATGCCGATTGCTGTCTCAGTAAAAGTGTTTGCTGCCGCTACCAGAATTACTTTCATACTTCGACTAACACCATATAAGGTATGAAGTTATCTGTACCCGAACTAGACCACAATGCACCATGATTCTTCTTTATACCAAACTATTTTCCTTTTATTTGTAAGCACCCCTCTCGCCAGTTATAAACCCAATWAAAAAAAACTTACAAATGAGTCTAAGCCCTCGGCTTATTATAGCGGGCCCGGGGGTTCTAAGGTGTTCGAAAACGGACTTAAAGAATATTATATTATCAACTTGAACCGGGTATTGCTCACCATTCTCTTCGCCTATGCCGTGATGGGAAAGTGCTTGTAATATCTCTAGGCCGTCCAGCTTACTGTCGTTATTATTATCATGTGTTAGGAAGTACTGAGCATTTTCATCGTTGTCCTGAAAGATAATTATCCGYAAGTTTGCATAATTGAATGACAATTTTGCTGATAACAGTAGGTTTAGGGACGAGCTTGTTGAAGAAAATTTTATCGTCCAAAAAAAAAGCATAAAATAGCAAATATTCTTGCAAAAGTTGAGACGATTTTCTGATTTTCCTCCCCTGCATAAAAATAAGTTAAAAAACCCCATATGTTAGAGTACTAACACTATAAGTGTGTAACATAAATACCACTAAATACTGCTAAATTATGCTAATCCTATTGTTTTCTATTGTTTAATTACTTCTAAGTGGTGCAAAGTGTTGTATACTTTTAGTGTTTGTACTCTAATGATAACGGGTATCTATGTACCTTTAAATACTTCTTTGCAGCTGCTTCATCCATACCAAAATGCTCTTGTAAATGTTCAGCTAAATGCCTAAAAATGATAGCGCCATCAATCTTTATACTTAGATATTGTAGTATATTATAATTATTGCTTATCAAAGTTTATTTTTTTGCCAATAAAAACTATTTTGATGTGCACTTAGAATATCTTAGGTTTTATGTGCCCCAAAATGATGTTTGGAAAAAAAATTCTGTTTCCTTCGACTCTTCCCAGCCCCCCTTGCATAGCTGTTTATCTAATGCTCTCTCTCTCTTCCTATTCTCTATCGATGAATTCGTTCTCTCTTTCGTTCTTTTATTCCCCTTCTCATTCCTTCTCTCTCATGCTTTCGTTTATTTCGAAAATGATWTTTTTTCGTGTCCAATGCAAATCGCCTTCAACTTTTAAAATCCAGTTGAATTTTCAGTTCCTAACTTTCGTTTATACAATTATTCATCTCAGTTAAAAACGTAGTGCAAAGCCTTTATTTAAGTAATTTTAGGAATATATTTTACATATACCCCTGAATCTTCCTATCAATCAAGTAAGGGCGTCGAGAATGATTTGAGATTGGCGGGAAAAATCGATCGAAAAATAAGGTGTGGAAATAAGAATTATTTTAGTATTACTTGAAACGTGTCTCGCTCTCGGCTTGGTGTGTTAAAAATAGATCACGTGGATTAGTGTGATRCTTTCAAAGTTAGCAAATGCTCAGTTGGATTATCTAGATTTTAAACAATRAAAGTATGTTAATCAAATATCACGTACAACTCACCATCACCATTCACCAGCTCGAATATTATGAATTATTTTCGTGTTAAAGATTTTAAAATAAAACTGTCGGATTTTWWTWTTTTTWATTTYTTATTTATTTATTTWTATATTTTTGTTGCTTCTCAGTGGCTTGTGATGTGATGAATCAGCATTAGTATTCYTTTGAATTCTAATAAAATTGTTTCCATTAGTCCTAACCTCTGTTACCTTTAAAAAGACTCARATATAAAGACGAGATCAAGGTGTAAATATAGGCGACTTATAATACGGAGTAAAGGTTTCAAATGTTTTTATTTTTCCACAAGAAATTCGAACTTCAAAATAGATACAAAAATATAGAAAAATCAATTATTTTTTAAAGTGTTTATAAATTGGAAAAAATGGAGAAAGAAGGATAATAAGAAAAGATTATGCAAAAGGTTTAAAAATATATTACTGYAAATAAAAATTTCTTAATCGGATAAAGAAGTCGTTTGACTTATATAGCCGGTTAATGGTTCAGAATAGCTTAGCCGGATTAGTTCAACAGACGATAGAATAAATTTGACTTGTAAATATAGAACAGTACTACTGTAGTAGAAAGACAGTCCTTTTTTGTGTGAATCAGCTYGATTAGTTTTGATTCCACCTGCTACTTGCATTAATTTTTACCTAGTGTTTAGTTTTGCCCCCGAATCTTTACCAGTTTATCGACGTATATTAAAATTCGTTCAAAGAAACCAAATATTCCATGATTTCAATCCTTGAAATATTATTTTACTCACTCCGTGTCCTTAACTTGAGAGCGTAGGGATTCCTCAGCKGCCGAAGAAGTGGTCGTACAATCAAGAGATCGAAAAGTCGTCGATAACATCAAAATAAATAGAACCAGTGAAATAATGTCGGTCCCTCGCTTGTCGAACATGGTTAAGAACGACTAAAAACCTCTTCTGTTATTGTACTTGGTGTCTTGTTCGTAGAAAATGAATATTATTAATGCCTCGCCTTGATGTTAAGCATTAATTTAATATTTTTTATAGAGGTATGAACAAAGTTCCCGAGAGGCTCATTATTATTTATTCCTTTGTTGAAGACTGGCTTGTTGTCATAGTTTTCGTTAGAGCAGCTGGTAAGCTGGTCCTACCATCACGTGGTATGCAAAACATGGCCTCCTCAACAGCCGTTGGCTGCTTTCAAAAACAAATTTATTGACCTTCCTTTTTTTTAAATTTTTTCCCTCCTCTTCCAAACCATTTTATTCATGTCTTCTTTTCCTTCTTTTCCTATTTTTCCCTTTTTCAAAACTTATTTATGTAAGACCTCTTGTTTTTTTCTGACTAATTTGCTTTATCGTTTTTGCCTGCTGTACAATAAGGCAATTGAATTTCTAACCCACACAAAAATCGACGGTGTATTGGTGCAAAGTGATTGAAAACTAGCCTTAAAGCTTAGTCTTAAAACTAAGCTTTAAAACTTCTAAGTTTTAAGATAAGAACATGTCTCCTTTAAAAACAGCTTATCAGAAGAATCAAATCAAACAGTAACCGTTATTTTGAAATTCTGAATCATGACTACAGTCTACTCCTTCCATTCAGGGCTGTCAACTCTCCCGAATAAACCGGGAGTCTCCAGATTTTGGACCGTATCTCCCGGTCTCCAAATTAGAGTCTCAATTCTCCCGGATAATCGCCGAAGCTCACCATTTCTTGTGAGACTCGACTTTCTCAGAGTTATCTTACATCGCTAACAAAATCAAAACATTCCTGATAAACTGTTCTTGCAAGCAGGCCACTGTAATATAAGCAATAATCTGATTGGTCAGAAATAAACCAATCACATCAAATGTTACAAAGTGAATGACGTCTTTTCATGTCCCTTCCCTATCAATTCTCCAGATTTGAATATCTTGGGGGTTGACAGCCYTGCCGTTATTATAGTGTTCGTTTTTTGGTCTTAAATATTTATTTATTTCCAGCACTAGACAGATCGAGAGAGGAGTTCTAGAGGGCTTWGTCAATGGAAAGGTTGAAGGCAGTGATTCGATGGTAATTTTCGATAGAMTGATGATTCAAAATGCGCGAGCAATTCTAACGTCTTTACACCGAAGAAGGTCTGAGAAGGGATCAAAACGCCTATACAATGTCGATTAAAAATAAGCCATCAACTAATCTGATTAAAAATAGTTAATGAGATTTTGCCACTTCATGCGAAAGAGCCCAACCTAAAACATCTTTCACCTTCCCCATACTTTTCTGCTAAAAAATAAAAAATAAAATTTTGAATAAATACTGCGTTTATTTTATTGAAATCCGAATGAAACTACATTTTAAATTASAAAGGTATTTTAGACTTCTTTCTTGTTCTTCAAAAGCAAGGATGACTTTTGTGAAAGTTGGACTGAGGAAAGTACCGCCACACAGTCATATTCCGTCCCAGAATCCTTTGCAACACGAGGTTACCAGTGGTATGGGCCTTTTTCACGCGGCAGCCATGTTGGTTGGAACAATAGATTCTACCACGCGTAGCCTCGCATACAAGAGTTTGAGAATGAGTTTATGCGGGTGAAACAAAGGTTTTTATTCTCATGAGAATAAACATGGCTGCCGTGTGATAAAGGTCCATAGTCTTTCAACTTC